ATGCCGAGGATGAGGCTCGAGCCCGACTGCGATGGCTTAAGCATGAGGGTTTAAGTGAAGTCTACATTAAGGAGTTTACAAGCTTGATTCTTTAAATCCCCGATATGTCAGACAATGATGCTCTCTTCAACTACATTGGGCAAAGGCCGAGCTTAGGAGGCGAGGAGTGCAAGATCTTGCCACTGCCATCGCGGCTGCTAAAAGCTTTACTAATTATTCAAAGGAGTCTAGAATGCTTGAAGATAAGAAGAGTTGTAATGTCAAAGGTGGGGATGACAAGGGCAAACACGAGGAGAAACGTTTCTTATCTTTAGGCTGGGGGCAAATTGACATGGAGGCAAACTAATATGACTTGTTGTTAGTCTTCCCCTTTACTTGCTGCATGACACCCCTCTCCCATAACACCAAGGAGAAACCAAGGTTTTCCAAGACGGGGGGCAAACTGAGGAGGTAGTTTCAAAGGTGCAAAGGAAGCCACAATGCCCTCATTCCGAGTTTAAGTGGGGGAGAGTTTCATGCCCTGCCATTTTCAAGGAAATGTCAAGACAAGCATGGAAAGGAAAACTCTATAAGAGGCTTGCATGACAAGAACCTTTTAGAGCCAAGAAGGTGGAAGAGAGTTCCACACAATTCTAGAAACTTCTACCCAATTCCAGATGTCAAAGGAAGGCAATACTTCATGAAGGATCCAAGGATGGAGCATGAAGAGTTTAAGAAGAATCTAGAAGGATCTAGGAATATGTATTTATGTAAGATAAGAATTGTATGGAATAAGTAAGAATTGTATGGAATAATCTAGAAAGTAGGGAATTCTAGAATATTCTCATGGCTTGGAGGGGGATTATAAATAGAGGTCTCTTCTCTCATTTGTAATCACCTAAGTATTCAATCAAAGCTTCCAAGTATTCAAGTGCGAAGTGTTCCTTTCTCTCTACTCTTCTTCTCTAGAGTGTTTGGTGCTCACAAGTCAAAGCGTTGTGAGGATTAGACTGATTTAGTGCTAAAGAAGAGCGCTAAAGCCGCACAGGTGACTAGAGCAAAGTTAGTCCGTGACAATAGGCCCTGATTCTAGAGAATTGAAGTTATTCTTTTAATTATTTTATTGTAGAATGATATGCTACTATTTTGGCATTAAAAAACTTTACTATTATGAAAACTTTTAATCAAAGTAACATCCTTGTAGAGAAATTGAGGTTATTGAAAAGGCAAAATGGTTTGCGTGCCTACAAAGTCTTCATACAAAGTTAAGCAGACCATCACCATATTTAGTAAGTGATCGATCATGAAAAGAGGATGCTTGAGACCAGTTTTCCATGAGACGATTTTTTTTTTAAATTAAATTTTTTGTAATTCCTGACCTTACTTTAATTAGATATGGTGTCAAGATTTTCTGTAGATGCAAGCTCTCATAGTTAATTGCCTTCACACTTGTGGGAGAATACAATTGACTAAGGAGGCTGTTAAGGATTAATTTTAGATTTAATATTTAAAAGTGAATTTAATTGTGGGAATAATTGGATGGAATAGAAATAGACCTGCTCAAGATAGTTGGATGGATAGAAGTAGACCTGTTCAAGAGCACATGGTTTTGTCGTCTCAGGCATCCATTGAACCTAATCAAGCAATGTTAGACTATCTTTCGTCGTAGCGTCAAGAGGGTCATACTACTAACCATGTGCTACCAATTATTCTGTATCTCGAACAATGCAAGGTGAGAATGTACGTCTGAAAGGCACGTTTTCAAGGTTGTTGCCAACTAATTTACCTGTGGATGGTTGGCCTACTAGTTTTTCATTGAATAGTTCAGAAGCGAGCAGTTACAGTTTAGAGGAAATTACTTGGCAAGAGCTCATAGATATGACATGATAATCATTTATTTTTGAGTTACATATTGACTTGACAAAACATGTCTAAGACACTTATTTCTTTGGCTCGCATGATTTTTAGTTAGTTGATTTCATTTTTCTTAGTACTTGTTAGCATAGTTGATGGCTTACGATAGGTTGGGTTGGGACTTAGTTCTTTTGAAAAACTGATATCAATTGAGATATGACTTACATATGTTGGAAGGCCCAAATTAACTGGCATGGAGCTTAATTCTTTTAGAAGGTTTGAGTTTTTATTTAACAAGTTTATATTGGATATGTGTTGACTCAGATTAGCTGGATGTATCTTTCATCCATTGGAAGGCTCGTCAGCGTGACTTAAACCTCCAAGAAGTGGAAAGCCAAATGATGGTCTTATGACCTTGCCATATAGGCAATGGTGATCATTTGATGTAATTTAAAGGGTTGCTGGCTTTTTATTGGATTGATAATTAGGATGGGAATTACATATATTGGAAGGTCTATTTAGAAAATTGCAAAAAATTGATGAGAAAGAGGGCTAAACTCTTTAAGAAATTCAACTTGATACGAAATAGCCATATGATTCGTGGGGAGCTTTAAAATAAGTAGAAAATAGGATGAAATTGAGAAGATACCGATATATGCTAAAACTGCTAGCACGAATCTCGAAGCAATCAAATAGCTAAGGACAACAATCAGGAAATCAAAGCGACAGGCCGAGGGAGCACGATCTGAACTAATCGTCCGACGATTGACATCTCCATCGAGTCTGTAGACCCACACTTTCAAGAGATTAAATCGACGGACCGCGTTTACGGTCGCAAGCTTCTCTCAGGGGCGCTCGAGCACAACTAATCGATTGTCCGACTTTGCATTAGTGGGAGCACAACTAATCGATCGTTGTATTAAACTTAAATGACAACACAAAGCTTGCATTAAATTAGCGCATTAACTGTATTAATGGTGGTTTTCATAATCGTTCTCTCCTTTTGATAATTAAGGGTGTTTTTCATAATTGCTCTCTTTTTTCTGTAATCGTACAAAGAGACATTCTATACATAGAAGTCCAATGGTGAACAAAGAGACGTTCCCTTTCCTCCCTACCGACTCCTCTCAAGAATTCTTTGTCGGCGCTTCTCTCTCCTTCTCTCGGATCCAGCTCTTGAGGCGTGCTTTATTTGAAGGTCAATTTAGGATTCAACATCTTAAAAAGTGGTGCATGGAGCATGGACATGCCACAGGGATGTGATACCCATGGAATTTAAGAGAAACAGTGAGGCAAGGCATCCAGGAAGAAGTCCAGGTGCTGCAAGCGCAGATAATGGACCAGTTCGAGGCTCTTCAAGCGGCCATAACTCAGAGAAACATTCAATCACCACTCTCGGAAGGAGAATCTCTGGGAACTCGCCCTCAGAAGGTCCCTCGCAAAGATCTGCCTGCACCTAATGGTTAGTTTGGTGATCGACTGAACAAAGAGCAGCGAGACTCCGAGCTCGTCGATAGTGCGACATCTATGTCGATGATTAAGCTCTGGGTGAATCGAGTAGGAGCTCCCACTCGGCCGACTGCAGGTCTTCTCGATGAATTCTAGAGACTATACTCCCGACGAAGTTAAAGATTCCTTATCTGGATCCTTACTAGGGGAAGAGCGACCCAACAAACCTCTTGGCTTCCTTCGAATTGTTGGTTGGAGTTTTGCATATTGATGTTTCTATGAAGTGTCAACTCTTCCTGACCACGCTAAAGGAGGCCACGCT